CAATAATATCATAGTAATTATTATCCCTTGTGAAAAATTGGATAAAAGGGCAATACAGTTAAAATATATACACTGTATATGGAAACTCTTGTCTGAATTAAATATGTACCGATAGAAAGTATGCAACCTTATAGATAAAATCAACCACCATCCTTCATAAAAAGTGAATTTAAATCCCTTTCATATTATAAACAATATTTATTTCTCTCTCTTTTCCAATTTTTGCATCATAACATGTACATATGATATTTAAGGGTAGGCATAGCAAGAAAAAAAAAGTAATATATATTTACATTATTCTAATAGAAATTCTAATATAAATGTGATCCGTTTGGTAAATGTCATTTTCTACATAGTCAGAGGTCAGTGTTGTACTTTGAATTTCATTATATGTTGAGTATAAAATTTTTGTGGATTTCATGACTAAAGCAAACAATGAATTTGAGTGTTCAACAAAATACAATTTTTTTCATAGGCGTTGATGCAGATGAAACCACAAAATTATTAGACTATATCCACCTATTTAATGAAAATGGGTACCTCCAAATAATTTAGTGAATCCAAAGAAAAAGAATTTGTTTATTTAGTATCAAACTCAGAATATATGTGTGGTTTGGAATACATTCATGTAATTAATTTCCTGGATCTGTACATTTGGACCAATGAAACAAGACCTACAAATTTATTTATTTATGTTTAAATCACATTTAATGTCAAAAGTGGCAATTTACCGACTTAAATGTGTCAGTCATACAGTTCAGAATGATAGGATGATATATTTGCCTGTCAAATTTTATTTCAACTACTCATATTTTTAAAATAAGATTGAAATTTTAATTCAATATTTTTTATGTATACAGGAATAAGCATGTACATTATCTAAAACAATTATTACACTTATGTGCCATAATAAATACAAAATAAAATCTTTATAGCAAATTAAATTGTTGATTAGGTATATTAGTGAATGCCTTGTCTGGGTACATACATTGTATAACAACAGTAATGTCAAATATAGATAGGTTATTGCTCTGAAGTATCTATCTACATGTCTGTACAGTTATATTGATGATTAGACAGTAAATATTGACTTAGATTGTTATTCAATACCACAATACTATCATTGCCAGACAAAATACAAATTATTTTCATGATGAAAGCTCTATAGAGACTTCTTATAGGCACATATCATTTATCATGTGGGTATTTTTTCTCAGGACATACAATTTTTCCCCACTTTATTCAAAGGCAAACCTTTTTTTTAATACAATAGACATGATAGAGGAACATGAGTTTTTGGGGGGAAATTTCAAAGTTGTTTTTATTGTTTTTTTTTTTTTTATAATTTTCAATAGTAAAAAAGGAATTTTTTTCACTTCCCTGTTAGAGCAATTCTTTGTTTTTGCTAGAACTTTAGAATCAAACAATTTATCTTAAAAATGTTGATGCTTTATAAGAGTGCAATCACTCTATCAATTATAGACACAAAGTTCAATCTAACTTTTTACATCATTACTCTCATTCTCAACTCCACCGATAACTGGACCAGACAATCCATCATCTGGAGTATGGTCACAATTTCTTTTATCTTCCAGCCTGACGTCTTAATCATGGAGAAGATAAAAATAAGTGATTATCCCCCTCTATCAAGCTTAAGTAAGACAGGCAGATGATTTTTCATCAATAATATTTCATTGGCTTGACCATTCATTTCTTGTTACAATTCTCAGCTACATTTGTTCCAAATAACATATACAAACAGCTTTCACTTCTTCTATGTACAGAGAAAATAAGAGCTTCTTTTCTCTTAATAACAATCAATTTAGATATATTGGAAGTCCTATCGATTTCCTTACATCTTTACAGATGAAGTTATTCTAAGAATGTAGAAATGTTTTGAATGGAAACAAAAACAAGAAATCCGATTTATTTCTTGATGAAATGAACCTATCAAATGGCTGCTTTAATCAATACCTAAAAAATTTAAATTAAATGAGTACTGAGAAATTTACTATGCATTGTGGGGATGGTGCACTTTTATATATGCATATTTCCTTTCTATGAAATTAGGTATTCCACATAAAATAGTTTGAAGATTAGTAAAGGCAGTCACATTTTATTGCGTGTTTCTAAATGAAGTATTTTGCATACAATTTTATGAAATTCAATAAAATTGCTGTAAAAGCATGACAGAATTTTAATTTCACTTCTCTTCGAATTGCAAATGAAGACACATAAATTGTTTAAGTTTATGTTTTTTGCATATTAGAATTGCACAGGGATGAAAGTATAACATACTCATTTGCAAGAACTTCACATTAAAATTTAAATTATCAACCAATAAAATTTTAAATTTCACAATTTTTATGGTATAAAAGTTGTATTGGTCATATTTCATTTTTATTTTATCGGACTCGATGACATTTAACGCACAAATATGGACATTAATTCTCAATGTGACCTGTACCTTGAGTGTTTAACTGTCAATTGGTCTCCCTGGTCTTTTTATAAACAACATTAAACTGTTTTTCTAATCCCCTCAACTGTCAGACAAAAATCTTGTTATTGGTAAATTTTAAAATTGTTGACCACAACTAAATAATGAAAGTAGAAACTTTTGTCTTGGGTGAATAGTTGAAAACTTTATAAATGCACTTTGAGTAGCATTATTCAAACTTTAGATAAAATAATGTACACAGCAAATTTCCTATTTTCTTTTTCGATGAATGATTTTCAAGGGTTTTCATAAGTAATTTGGAAATCAAAATTTGGCGAATTAAAATGTTTTTAAACTGTAATACTTACAAAAGATATCAGGAGGTCTAAACATGCTAATTGTATTAATTTATGATATTTGAATAAAATGTCCTTTCCCATGTTTAACAGGCAAACATTTCAAGACCTAAAATTACGCTGTCCACCTGTGTTTTTCTTTTTAAACATGTCAAACGAAGGATAATTTACACAGTGTTATAAAACCAATAAAGACCTTGATCTTTCAATTTACTCTACAAAGTAGCCTCTAATTTACCGATTTAAAATTCGTAATGATTTATTCAAACTGTATACTTAATAAATTCGTTAAATGAAGTTCAATTCCGCTGATTATAATCATGTAAACATCAGACAATATCTTATATACATATAAACATCGTAACAGTCATTATAGCTGGACAATGGTCAATTTATGGTCAGATGGCCAGGTAGAAAGAATTGTCAACAAAGGTTGAAAATCTTATTATGAAGTGTCCCTAGCATGCCTAAGGGTTTGACGACACACATTGTCCGTTTTTGATAACTGTATCATCTATAAACTCCCTAAGATAATGTTCGAATAAGTACAAATTTTATCATAATAATCTCACGATAGTGTCATTTTCCTTACCTCTGATCATATACCGGACAATAAAATCAATTGGGAAGATTTTGAAAATTTTATTATGAGACTGAATCTCAAACCATTTCTAATAATTTTTTCTAGATCTATTTTTTAAGAGTAAAACTAATTTTTAATTTTGTAAATCCTTTTGGAAAATCAATAGGACACTCTCGAGTTGAGGACCTCATGTAATTTATAAAATCTCCTTTTCTTTTTTATTTGCCTTGTTAAATAAGAACCATGAAATGTAGTGTTATTCAAAGGAATCTTTTTTTTTTCTCTTTTTTTTTCTCCAATGAAAATCATGGCCATTATAATTTGCAGTGTTAATTCTTTCATAATTTGCAAATTTTAAAGATTGTACATGTATCTAATGCTTTGATAAATAAGTGCTTCCAACCTTAAATCACACCTTGTACAAAACTTATTATTAATAACAAAAATATCTTTTAAGGACAAAATTAATTCTTTTGATGAACACTTATAGCTTTTAAATTGCACAAAAAATTATAACGATTTTCCAAGTCATTTATTTTCTTTCTTAATTTCTTTGTATGATAATGCAGATATATTATGTAATTTTTCTTGACAAATTTTTACAGCAATAAATCAAAATTTTTTGAAAGTAAATCTATCTTCCTGTACAAATATTTTGGTGTCAGATTAGTATGAAACATGTGTTATTTTTCTTAAAATTAAGAAAAAAAAATATATCCTCAAGCCCTCCGACAAATTTTGTTTCATTAATCATATACATGTATATACTTTGAGACTCATTAAAATTATTTCAGACACGTTTAGTTACATGATGAAAAGTTTCATGAATTTAAAATTTTTCGAGAAATTTGAAATTACTGTGCACAGCCTACAGTTGAACAATCATGCATTATCTTTCTACTGCTTTTTAAATTTTTTTATTTCATAAAAAAATGGTATTCATTCTTTCACGAGAACCTGTCCAATATAATTTTTTTTTCAGTCTTTTTTTCAATTTAATTAATGTTCTATTTTCATTGTTCACAAAATAAATAAACTGCTAATAAAAAAGACTTTAAAACCTATAATATTTTTTGACAGAATCTTACAAAAATAAACAACATGATTTATATGATAGAAACAAAGAAATTTGTTTTATATTTACATAATGAACAGTAAATTATGATAAAAGGTTGAGTAATAATTATGATAAAAGGTTGAGTAATAATTATGAATTATGAGTAAACAGATCTCATGAGAAAAAATATCAAATTCATATAAAATTATATCAATTTATTACTGTCATAAAATTAAAAGGTCAGTCTATTTCCTGTGAAATATTACTCACAGTTATTACAATCCAGAGAAAAACTTAAGCTTTATGTATCTTTATTTCATGGGTTATTTGAGACAAGATCTTAATCCCCTTTTACAGGCTTTTTTAAACAACTTCCATTGTGTAGAAGTTACAAATTCTATGTAAATTGAACTGAAAATAGTAGATAATTTACACTTGAATTACATTGGTAAATCGCTTGATAAAATACACACAAACCATTGGTAAACAATGAAATTTACATCCATGTGTAAAAGACATTGCTACATCCCTTGAGAAATGGATGAAGTCTATGAATAAATCACTTACAGAGATCCACTGAATTTACTCTTCCCAATCCACAGCAAAGTATAATTCCAATCATATATATCCACTTCATTTTGCCAGGGTGGAATAAAAACTCCATGTTATATATTCAATTTAAATCCATTAAAATATTCAGCACTGTTGGTAAAAATCCTCACATCTTTCATTACAGTATCAACACACTGGCTACCACTGAAATAGCAACAATAGAATAGCTGTACACTAATCATTATGTGAAGTAGTGGATCAGTCCACTATACCTTTAGGGTAAGACAGGAATGAAATGGATTAGTAGCAATGTAGTGTATTCAAAATCAGATGTAATCAAAAGTAATTTTGTGATTTATGAGATAACCTTTACAAACCAGTAAAATCATTTTTTCTTTTTACTTTCTGAAGTATTTGACATATTCAATTTATCAGAAACAAAAACTAATGTGAATTTTTTGTTGAAAAGTTAATTGCGGATTACACTGTTCAAATGTTTGGCCTTTACAAGTCAAATTGACCATAACCAAAAACTGGTCATAAATTTTCTCAAACATGTAATTTTTGTATGGCCAGATGATAAAGCTCTTCATTTCCATTGAGTTATTATAGTGGAGTGCAATCTTGCGTAATTAGGAGGAAATATGAGCTATTTTTCTGACCCAATTTAAAAAGAGATAAGAAATTGATTTGTGAATTTCTTTCACCTATAAACAAATGATAAGATAAAAAGGCTACAATTGATAAAAGACTAGCTGTTAAAAAAAATCATAAAATAAAATTTTAATTGGTGGCATAAAAAATAAATAATCTGATTTAAAAATGTGTGTAGGATCGTTTAGAGTTTGAATTTCGGTGCCTTCTTCTTTAAATACCAGAATCTGAATTTTTAGGTTTTATTTTCTCAAGCCAGACTTCCTCTTTTACTTTTACTACTGATGTGGCAGGATATAGGTTTGTTGTTAGGCTATTAAATTTGTGAGAAGGTGTATGTTTTTGAGCTATTTGTGAATTTAAATGCATATTCATACTTCAATAAATTCAGTTTCAATTAGAGTTAGCATTTTAGGGAGAATCCAGGAACATTTACATATAGTATCATAACTTGAAGATGAGCAATGCCAAAGAAAGAATTTCGAATATATGTTATTGTCCAGATAAAGAGAAAAAAGGAAAGAAAACAAGGATTTTAAATATAATATCTGACCTTATAACACCTATCAAATATTTATCAATAAATCAATGACCTTGGAAGATAGCCCTAACATCTTAACATCTTTTTTATGACATTTTACACATAACTTGGCACCAACATGTATCTAACCATCTCATTATCAAGGGAACAATAATCACATTGGGGATACCTGTAACACTATACTGTAGATAAGATACCTATTAATGAGGAATTAAGACATTTTAATGGTTGAGGATAAATTTAATTACTGGGGAGGGGAGATAACTCACTAATCCTAATGGGAAACACTACACAGGCAAATTTTGTTCACGTGAATTTCACGTGAGTCTCATTTCACGTGAAAGTCACGTAAAATTCACGTGAGTTTCACATGAATTTCACGTGAATTTTTGCTCACGTGAATATCACGTGAATTTTTCATGTGAATTTCACGTGAACAGTTTTCACGTGAAATTCACATGAAATTCACGTGAAACTCACATGATCTGACTTACGTGAATTTAACGTGAACTTGTTAACGTGAAACTCATGTGAAATTCATGTGAATTTCACATAAACTTTTTTTCACGTGAAATTCACGTGATCTCACTCACATGAAATTCACATGATTTGACTCACGTGAATTTCACATGATTTGACTCAGGTGAATTTCACATGATCTGACTAACGTGAAATTCACGTGAAATTCATTTGATCTGACCAAGGCTAATTTTTTATATAATGTGCTTACGTGGTTGGTTTTGCACAAGATAAAATCACTGTTTAAAATAATTAAGTGTGTGCACTAATTATTGCCATTTTGACATAATCGCCAAAATGTAAAAATAATTATTGAAGAAGAATTAGAATAAGAATATAGATATTTTATTTGTTTGAAATACAAAAATTTAACAAATTCTAACAAAATTTCACAATAAACATTTTAAAAACATACTCAGGAGAACATTTTTACTAGCACTTTAATATAATTTACATAAAAGGGGGACATATAACCATCAAATGATTAATATTTATCTTTTTATTTCGCATGAATTATCTCCCTTGATAGTGGATAAGATGCAACTACAAAAAGATCAGTGTTGGTTTTGAGTTGTATTTTCTATCACTGTTTATATTTATCTCTAGTAGAGCAATAATGGTAGAATTTGTATCTTTGATTTCAAATTCCTAAGATACTTAGAATATATTGATGGGCTAATATTGATTTATCAGTAATATTTCTATTTTCATTTATCAGTAAACTCAATTTCTTTCACACATTTAAAGTTTCCTTTATTTGTGTACTCTTATAAAATATGGGAGGTAACTCCAGCTTTTGAAATAGATTCCTGTTACTGTAATTAAGATCCTTTACTTTCCATAATTGCAAAGAAAAAAATTGATAATGAATATCACTTCAAAACCTGAGTTATCTCCCTTTTTTGCTGTGTATTAAACTTTTCCTCAACCTTATAAGTCAAGTGCAATTTTGAGCTTTGAACCACACATAAGATTAACAATAGGACATATGAATAAAAATAAGTAAGTGTGCTGAAAAGAATTTTATTGGGCTAAATGTTGTCAATAAATGTTAAATTGAATGTTTATCAAACATGTCAAAGTATACATATTGGAAGTGCAGTATATTTTTAAAACTGCTTTGCCTAGAAATATGAAAATTGTTTGATTTAATATGATTATACAAAAGCGGTAAATGCTAACTACTCCCTCATCTAAAAAAAAAAAAAGAAAAAAGAAAATATCTTCTTTCAGGGATTGTATGTGTATCAACTGGATTGCAATTTATGTGTTGGTACACTTCAAAATATTTTATAAACCTTTTTATAATGATCAAGATTTCTCAATTTTTCCTTTTGAGTTAATGAGTTGTCAGGGTTTGTCAATCAATGGGAAAAATTTTAAACTAAATATTAATTTTATAATTTCAGTAGTAACTAGGTAGGGATTTATTTAAATTTTATGTTGTGTTTTTTTTTTACATTCAATGAGTCTATGGGAGTAACATTCTGACTTAATAGTGCTTAATGAAAAATGACAAAAAAATCTTTCGGGTAGGCTATTATTTAGACTAAAAAGTAGGGTAGTTAGGGTAACTACATATATCATCTGCCCCCCCCCCCCCCCCCTTTTGTGGGAAAATTTTTGGTTGATTATATAGGGAATCACTGAAGCATGACTGGAGCCCCCCCCCCCCCCCCCCCCCCCCATGTTTTAGGTCAGTTAGTGATCCCACCCTATGAAAAGTTCTAAATCCGCCAATGTATATTTTTATTTGGCTTATTAATAAGTATGTTTTAAGGAGAAAATTAAGGATTGTCTGAAATAATTTGTTAATTTATAGCGAATGGTTGGTTAAATTTACAACTTTGATAGATCTGATATTTATTAAAAAAAAAACTACAGTCTTGAAACATGAAAAACCAGGAATTTTACACCTAAAAATGCTGTATAATTTTCAAATATTTTTAATTATCTTTTAAAATTTATAGACAATAAATATATTTTAAGTCCTATATAGTGTCCCAGGCAAATGCATTAATGTGCTATGTATGTTATCGAAAATTATTGATTGACATTAAATTATTACCAGAGGCATATATACTAATTTAAATAATGTCTCTAATATTATTTAGCTGTAATATATGTGAGGATATGATTGCCAATTAGACAGGCTGTTAATTGGATTAAACATATATATTCTTCAACTAAATGAAATAACTTCATTGAAATTCTATCTAACTATATAGTTTATATTATATTAAAATATATCAAATAGTTTTAAGGGTTAAACTTTATGCTCTACTAAAGGGGTGCTCCTATGTAGCTTGTAAACAAACGAATTTGTTATTTGTTCATTTATATGTCTTACTTAGTCAGGACTTTAAGCAGTAAATATCATTTTAAAAATGAATTGAGTCAGTTAAGTCGGGATGCTGATTATGCTAAGAAACACTGGATATTGGTCTATAATAGACTATTGAATGGGGAAACCAGCATGTACTATTTACACATGGATAACTATTCTTCGTGACGATATCCGGGACCGGAGGTCGGTTTTTAAAACGCTTGAATGATTCAGATGAATGATGCAAATTGAAGACGCCGGTAGCCAACTGACAACAACTTGAACTTGTTTCTGTTTATTTAACGAGACAAACACAATCAAGGAGTTATGAACGCATAGAAACTCGAGGAAATAAAACAGGTAACTCAAATAAATGATTTAATAGTGCAGAAATAAACAGAAATAGTGAGAATATTTTTCAACTTTTGACCTGATCAGTTCACAGTTGTAAAACTCCGTTTAAAATAAACACTCATTAGACACACACACATGTATACTCAAAAGTTGATACAAAACAAGAAAACTCGAAGAAAAAATTCCATCTTCGTCATCCAACTCATGGTTTGAAAAAATAATGTATGATTCTATGAAATGACCTCAGCTCCGGGCTCCTGTAGCCCTAGCTCTGGTTGATTATGTCTTTGTTCAGAGTCATTTAACCATATTGTAAGGGATCATAGATTTATTCTTACGAGGAAGCTCCGAGCATGCTCGGAGGATGCTCGGAGCTTTTTCAGGAGGCTCTTCTCTGCAGTTTATGTGAAAATAATTATCATGATCCATTAAGATGTCAATCAAATCTACACCACTTCTATAATAAGGAAAGTTGAGCATTATAGAGGAAGCTCAATTAACACCTGTGTAAACAACTGATCTATTCAAATACATTTTGCATGACATTTTACAAATTATAGAAAAGATAAGAAATTCTTCAACAGTACTGTGTAATGCTTGGAAAGAAATCTCAAGTCTCCACAAAAAAGTGAAAGTCATTTAACAAAAAATATTCAATTATTATATTTATTAATCATTTCTTTTTTTATAATAAAAAAAATTCTCAAATCTTATAATTAGATGATATGATTTAAATATAGTTTATATTATATAATATGCTACATAAAAGTTATCAAGACACAAACAACAGTCAGGGGGCAATAGTAAACG